AAATGGCCCCCAGACCCTGAACTGTTGAAGGAGGTATTGAGATGCAGCCCTGGTGCCCAAACCCTAAACCCTAAACCCTAAACCCTAAACCCCAAAGCCCAAACCGTCTCACCTTTGCAAGGTGAGACGGTGCGCCACTTGGAGTTGGTGCCAGCCTCGGAGCTTAACACAGGGATTTTGGGAACCCCAACCACCTCCTGGGTTTCAGGGTTTAGGGTTTTTTAGGGTGTTGGGATATAAGCCCAATATGGAGAATCGCATGGAAGACAAAGTTGAGAATTACGTGGCATCGGGATTCATATAGAGATTTGTAGGGATTTTATTGATTTGGTTAGCCCCCCCAAAATGGTCACATGACTCCCAGAGGGTTGGTATGATCTGTGTTGGGGTGACCAACATCCTCTTCTCTGTAAGGTTAGAAGTATGGGCCCCTAATATGGGCCCTTAGGCCCTCAAGGGGGATTCTAAGGACCCTTCAGGGTGCATATGGGTTTATATAGTGGGTACCCTAAACCTTAGGGTTGTGGGCTTCTAGTAGGTGTCAGTTGAAAATCCCCTAGCTCATCCCCAGGCAATTCGCCGCCATGCCCCCAATGGATTAAGATCCTTACTGCAGGGACCCGCCCAAACAGGGCCCACCCCCCTAATTCACAGAAACCTTCAGACACGCGAATTCTACAATTCCGCAATGAAGGATCCGTGCGGTTGGGACCAAGCCTTTATCCTAGATAGGAAGCCAGTCAGGTTAAAGCCAAGTCGTGACCTACAGTCTTTTCTGAACACGGTTATGAAGACTCTTCCATGCAACCCCCATAAACCTACAATTTTGCCCGTCAACGAAGCTGAGGCCTGTACCTGCCTGAAAATGTGGGCGGAATGCTGAGCTGTTCTGAGTCGAGGCATCTTGAAGTTCATGGATCGGGTTTCGGGTTTACGGTTAAGGGTCTTGTGTTTTCGGACTTCTGGATCCTAGACTCCAATTTTCCCAATGGTCCTCACACAGGGCTTTTGAAGAAACTAAGCCTTACATTGCGACAACAAGTGGGAGTTTCTCGCAGCATACAGTCCCAAAAATGGACCCCCATAATCCCATGTACCTTGATTGTGAGGGCATTTTCCTGTTAGACGAAGTGCCACTTCTAACGTTTGCTGCGCTATTCTGTGCTCTATCATCATTCCAGTAGTGCTGGAAGACGGCTCAATTAGTCGCATGGCAGTGCATGGCGTTGAATACTACTATGCACAAGAACCCTAAACCCTAAACCCTGAGCTTTATCGGAATGGAAGCAGAGGATAAAAGGGGCTCTCAAAAAAACCCAAAACCCAAAACCCTACGGAACTGCAGACAGCAGAGGTAAGCATGTATCTGTCGGGGTTTCCCAAAATGCGGGTTACTTTTCTAGGGGTCCATATAGTAAGGACTATAATATTTTGGGGTCTATATTGGGGGCCCCCTATTTAGGGAAACTACCATATTGCTATATTACGACTATCCTCATATAACCCCAATATACTATATATAACCCAGTCTGTCAATGTGCTGAGGTTCAGAGGTATGTGGAATCGGAAGGCAGCGGTCTTTGGATGACGTGCGACCCTGAGCTGCTACGGTTGGGACCACTGCGACCAAGTTCGGGGGTTCAGACTTCGAGCTTAGAGCCATAGTCCCCCTTAAGGAGGGGAGTTATATGGGGATAATGGAAAAGAAAATGGAAACTACTATTTATGGCTTAGAGTTTAGGGTATAGTCCCGCTTAAGTAGATAGAATATGGGGTATATGGGGATCCTCTTATCATATCCCCAAAGCCATATTCTTACCTACTTAAGGGGAACTACAAATTCTTCTGCCCGAACCTAGCAATCCGATGTGGCACTCAGGCAAAGGGCGCATCCTTGGGCTGTTCTCTGTTTTGTCTCCGAGAGGGCAGCATTACGGTTGCTATTATGATTATTATTCTGACTGTTATCATTTCTGCACCCTAATTCTATTACCATTTCCTGGGCTTAGGATGTGGATGTTTTTGAACTGCAAGGTTGAGGCTTGGGTGAACTTTTCGCAGATTTACTTCTCACAAGAAGCATTTCAATGTTTAAGGTGTCATGGTCCGCCTTAAATAGACAGAATATGGACATCCAGATGAACATCCACGTATACCCCATATTCTATCTACTTAAGAGGGATGAGCAGCGAGCCGGTAGTACGCCTTACGTGTAGCTTTGACTGGCTAGGGTGCTCGAGCGCACGAAGCAGAGTGTCTGACGAGTCTCAAAGTGAACAGGATTCCCTCTAATAATAGCTGCTAAGGGAACCTCAAGAATCTCCGCCTAATCCTATATCCCTACCCCTGGGGTATGAGAATCCCCCGAGTGTCAGCCCTGTAAGTGTAGGATGTTACCTGATGCAATGCCACCTGCAGCCGAAGCTGTGAAATCCTGTTTCGACATTCTATATATATATGTGTATATATGTATATATGTGTATATATATGTATATATATATCTATCTGTGTATATATGTATATGTATATATCTATATATATTAGATCAACGACAAAGAAGAACGGAAAACATGCGTTATCTAGGGCCAGGATTTAGGACTAAATCGCCAATACCCGTAAATTTTCTGAAAGAGTCTAATCTAAGCGAGAGGCTGAGCGGAACATCCATTATCCCTGCTTAGTCTCATGTATATTTTAAATCCCTGCGAAGACTGCTGGTTTTGAGAATAAACCCTACTTCGAGGGTCAGAGGGACTTAACAAGTAGGTTAACAATGGGTATATCTGGGATTAGTCTATGGCTTATTAATCTACTTACTAAGTCCCCCTGACCCTCCAAGTAAACCCGGAACTCTTTGGAAACTTCGTGGGCCAGACCTCTGATGATGCAGCTCACAGCGTTAGCTCGCCGTATTGCCACGCAGCTAGATCAGGCACAGTGGCGCAACTTAGAAAGCCTAAATAAGCTATAGTCTTTAGCCTCTGCAGGGCTATGCAGGATATCCAAAGCATTCTGCGGACTTCCCAGTTCGGCAAGTCTGTTACAGATAACTTTTGGGCAGCTGCGGTGATCCCCTATACAATCACTGCTTCAGCAAAAGGACCCCAAAGACGTTTGTACCCTTATGCTTTGTCCTTGGGTTTTGGGTTGCAAACACTTCAGTAAAGGGCAATTTCCCATGGCTGAGGGAACAAATACAAATTAAAACAGTACCGAGATGGACTGCTAGGTGCATGGTTGTAAGTACGGACCCCTAACAGTGGACATAGGGGTCCCTCTTGTAGATTAGTATAGTCCCTAAAATAGTCCCTATTTGGAACCCAGTTCCATCAAATTTTGTAGGAAATACTGACGGTAGCTCATATGCGCCGGCTTTGCAGCACATGCGCAGATAAGCATGATGTAGAGCTATGTTAGCTGGAATCCGGACCTCAACTTAGGGAAACGTAAGTCGGCTTTAGAGTTTAGGGTAAAAGTCCTCAACACAGTCCAAGAGACGAGTATTCAAGACGAGTATTCTACATACTTTGGGGTTTAGGAAGTCGTTTTGTTGCGGAGGCGTGGGGTTTGTTGACATTCCCAGGCCGACTGGGCCACAACCCAGCAACAGCGCGGTCTCCCTTCAGCAAATCCCACCCTAATTCACTGAAAGCTCTACATGAACCGGGTTTCCATTTCATGTTCCAGTTCTTTTTTACTTAGTTCTCCATGATTGGGGGTCATATACCCATCTGGCTTTTCTGCAGTCATCTGGCGCTGGATGCATGGCATGGCACCTGCTTGGAGAGTGTTTAGGTAAAGGTTTGCCTCAAAGCATTATACAGGTCATGCGGCCTTTGGACTTGGATCTCGGGAATCTTGATGGAAGTCGAAAGTACCCGTTGCCGCCCGTGCACCTGCCGCAGCATGCCGCAAAAAAGTACAGGAGAAGTAGCAACAGTAGCATACTTAGTATGATATGGAGAACAGAACAGTGTCAGAACGGTCGTTGCTTGTAGCGTATGATTGATGACTTCATGAGCACTCCCAAGCGTACCCTTGTTGCTGGTTTTTAGTACTGCTCTCGGCGCTAAACCCTAATACCTAACCCCGACACATTATGATTGCAGCTCTCCAGCTTTATAGCCCCCCCTAAGTAGATCGCATATGGCTTTGAGTATAATACAATAAGATCCCCATATACCCCATATTCTATCGACTTTAAGGGGGACTATACCCTAAACCCTAAGCCCGGACCCTAAATAGTAGTAGTAGTTTTTCCATTGTCCCCATATAGCCCCCCTACTTAAGGAGGACTGCTTGGAGGGTCAGGGGGACTTAGTAAGTAGGTTAATAACCCTTATAAGCCATATGATAACCCCAACAATCCCGATTATAAACCTACTTACTAAGTCCCCCTGACCCTCCAAGTATAATTCTATCTTTCATGGAGGCGAAGCGCTCCGAGCGAGCAGAGAGGGCCGACCAGGAGAATAACGCTTACTTGAAGAAGCTGGGGCCCAACTCTCCACTACACTGTTGTAGGTACATAGTCCCCTTTAAGTAGGTAGAATATGTGTTTTTTGGGGATCTTAAGTTTTTCTCAAAGCCATATTCTATTTACTTGAGGGACAATGTTGTAGGGTTTAGGGTCTAGGGTTTTGGGTTCTCTAGACCCTCCAATGTAGTTATGGATAATGGAAAAGAAAATGCAAACCACTATTTAGGGTTTAGGATTCAGGGTTTGGGTTTGGTATAGTTTGAGGTATAGTACATCCCAAATGAATAAACAATGGATAAGAAGATGGAATGTGACATGAGCTATAGTCTGAACTCCTTAGAAGCGAGTTATTGAGGGGATTCTATAGGGGACTCTTATAGAAGTTAGTAAGGGGGATACCAGGAGTTTAGACTATAGCTGACATGGAAACAGGGATTATACAGTGTGGTATATTTGCCAGCTTGAAGGAGTAGGATTCTGGGCTCCATTGGGTGCTCCGGCATCGTTGACCCGACCTCTGATGGTGCACATTCCGGAGGTGAATGAGGTCGGTGAGATGAGTCAGTGTGCATCTTGTGCTAGACACGTGTCATGCTTTGCCTATGTATGGTTCACATCACAGCTTATCAAGAACAAGACTCAGCATGCCATCTCCGGCAACGGAAGAGGCAGCCAGAAAGGCAAGACAAGCAGATATAGCCAACCACCACTCACGGTTCAAGAGCGAGAAGAGTTGTTCCTCGAAGATGTCAGGAATTCAATCCCTGAGGCGGGGAAGCAAAGGATGTTACCTGTTCTGCAGCAATCTGAGTGGGATGCGACCATCAAGCCCCACGGTGATTTGGATGGCACGGGAGGGATCAGCATAGTGCCCAAGGAGATGGTGCCAATAGTCATGCGCAATGTAGGCTACACGTTGGCGCCCACAGCCATGCTCACCACGCAACCCCCTAGTGGGCTTGGGTTGCGAGGATACCCAAGCATGCAAGTGCAGTGCACCATCAACGTTCTAGAGGATGAGGGCACCAGGAAAGCTGTTCTAGTCAACCGGCATCTGATCCAGATAGGGTTTGGCCCAGAAGTCCATCAGACAGCGCTTGGCGATCAGGTGAGCGTGCCCATACCCATTAATGGAAGCACAATATCCAAGCTCCTTGAGAGGCACGTTGATCCAGCGGCTTATGAAGCCATGACGGTGCGAATGGACAACAGCGCCACAGTCATGATACATGAGTCCGCGGTTGAGGCGATCCTTAAGGCATCCGGCAAGGACGGCATCTACTACAAGTTGCATGCGTCCAGCAGCTACGTGGGCGAGCTCCATTTGCTCTGGCTGCCCACGCAAACAACATTGGATGAAGCCGTGCACCTTGCCGATTCCGAACCGGACAGCTTCGGCGTCGTGGTGAAGAACGCAAAGGTTGACCCACGATTTGCCATCCGATTCTTCAAGGAGCTGGCTCTCCAACACTGTGCCAAGCGCAACAACTTGGAGGACACTACGGCCTACAGCAGGTGGCGCCTCAGCGGCCTGCCACTTCACACTGGGGCAGCGGGAGCCTTGGCTTTGCTCCCAACACGTGGTTGGGACGTAGTGGAGATCCTCTTCTTCAACGCGGAAAAGTGCGACTACTTGGCTAGCAAAGCGGGGGATTGCAATCCCATGTACTACCAGCTTCCCGGTGGTCACAAGAAGCAGTTGCAGCTCAAGGCCTTGAACGCGCTAGCCAAGAAGCCGGTCGCGGACCACAACCGCCAGCAGCGTGCAGCGAGCAAGGCCGCAGCAAGTACAACCCGCTCAACTAGGCCTTTGGAGGCACAACGACGTAGGGAGTGGCTAGCACAGCATGTACCCAAGATGCCTATCATACCTGGCCCACCTCCGGACGCAGTCCTCCAGCAGCCGGCCCCTACTACACCGACCAACGCAGGCGGCAGAACGGACACCCAGGAGAAGAGGGAACGAGAAGCAGCACCCGGCAATTCGCCGGACTTGCAGAAGCAGCGAACCGAGTGACTACAGTGCCTCTCCGAGAGGCGCTGCCAGTGTGGACCTGCGAAGGTAGGCCCACAACGCCACAGCTGGCATTTGGCCAGCAAGCTTCGCAACCGCAAAATGCGGGCTTTGCACGGCAACACTGCCGCCGATGCGCAAACGTGCAGTTGGAAGGCAAACCACAAGCTAATGAACCACACGGTGCTCGCCATAGGTGGCATCAACGTTGGAGGTTTTTCCGACTCGCCCAAATGGGAAGCTATCAAGGAGATGCCTCACAACGTCCTTGTGCTGACCGAGACACACATACAAACGCATCTTGTCAAATCCTACCCCTACAATTTCCCCAACTACTTCACATTTTGGAGCCCTGGCGAGGAGCAAAAGTACTACAACGGCATTGGCTTGCTTGTTCGAAGGAGCAAATGCTGGGCGGCCACACAACTCACGTGGAAACCAGAGGATGCATGTCATCGTTTTTGGCAGGACAGCAGGCTGCTTGCTGCGCAGCTATGGCTAGGACAGGGCGGCACCACGATATTACTGTATGGTGTGTATGGTCCCAGTGGGGCGCGCTGGGAGCGTGCCAAAAGACAGTATTTCAACGCCATGATGCAGGCCATTGCTGAGGACATTGCGGCGCGCGGGGACATGCCTAGCTTTGTCATTGGCGACTTCAATATGGTCATTAATGATAGTCACCTTTTGCAGCAGCTCTTGCGCAATGGTGGGTGGTTTGACTGTCGCAGACTTGGTTCGGAGGACATGCGACGGGCCAACACTTGTCATGTGCAAGGGGGGTCCCAGATAGACCACATCTTCGCCTCCCGCTCAGCTTACGACCAAGCATTTGGCTACAAGGTGCGCAAACACGTTGAGTTCAAGAGCCATTCCATGGTTGAGATTGCCCTTCAAGTACCTCTTGCGGCGCAAACGCGTACTACTTTGAGGAATGTTTGCAAAATACCTCCGCGTGCTCCTCCTGTACATGAGCATCATTTGGTGTACAACACGCAGTTGGGCAGGGGTTTTTGGCAAGCTTTGGCGCAGAATGATCTTGACAAGGCGTATCAACTCTGGTGTGAGGAGACAGAGCGTATACTCATTAGCGTTGCCAACAAGCAAGGGCACCATGTGCTACCTGGTGCTGTTAAACGTGGTAATGTGGTTTTCCATGAGCAGCGCCGGTTTCCACGCACAGTCCAAGAAAGTGCTTCCACGTTGCTTACAAGAAGTATCTGGAAAGCTCTTTGTAGGGCACGCGAGGTTGCTAAAGCCACCCCCGGTTTTCGTCGTGACAAGACCTGGGAAGCAACTAGCAAGCTCCTCAAGCACATACCACGGTCTGATGCGGATGAACTTCGTCCACTTCTTGGCCAACCTGCAAGCATTGAAGCGGCCAATGCTGTTGTGGATGCCCTCAACAAGCTCTTGGAGAAACAACATCGCCAAGATCGTTTTGCTCGCCTCAATGCGTGGAAGAAGAGAATGCGTAACAACGACAATGAGTGCTATGGATGGCTACGCAGCAAGGCTCGTCAAGAACCTGTTCGTGTCACAGTTACTGCGGCTGGAGCGACAGCGGACACGCAGGCGCGCCTAAATGCGATCAAATCCGTGTGGGAGCGTATCTACATGCGTCACCAACATGGAGAACCCAAGTTGGTCAATTTCATGCAGAAGTACGGGGCGACCCTGAACCGTAAAGTTCTAGACCTACCGCCTCTACACGAAGATGACATGATGACGACTATTTTGGAGGCCAAACCCACTTCGGCGGGAATGGATGGCATTATGCCGGTTGAGCTACGTCACTTGGCACAATGGTGTCCAACGCATATACGTGCACTCACAGCGCTCCTGCGGAAGGTTGAGGACACAGGCAAGTGGCCGAGTGTGGCTACATGCGGCGCAGTGGCTTTCGTGGCAAAAGATCCAGCCCAGGTCGATCCTCAAGCTGGAGATTTCCGACCTATCACTATTTTGGCTTCGGTGTATAGGGCATGGGCCTCATGCCGCCAAAAGCAGTTAGCACAAAAATGGGTCCCGCACTGGCAAGATCCTGGCACATACGGACTTCCTGGAGGATGCGCTGCAGACGTATTGGCCTACGAAACCTGCGCTCAGGTTATACAAGCAGCCAACGAGGGCCAGGTGGCAGCAGGGTTGAGCTACGACTTGCGCAAGTGCTTCGACACGGGTCCCATCAACTTGTCCCTGGATATTTTCAGGCAGAGGGGTGCCGACAGTGGAGTGCTTAGAGCGTTGACGGGTTTCTACGATGCTCACCACAAGTATTTCAAGATCGATGGTTTCTACGCCAAAAAGTTCACGGCGGCAAACGGCATCCTTCAGGGGTGCCCGTTGAGCATGCTGCTGCTGGTTTCCATGGTGATGACTTGGTTAGAGGCAGTCCGCGACAGAGTGCCGACCGCAACGCCTAAATCATTTGCAAATGATTTGTCAGTGGTTGACCAAAGCCAAAGCTTGCAGCAAGTGAAACACAATCTTCGGTTGCTACATGACACCACGTGCGAGTTCACTCAGGCAACCGGCGCGCAGATCAACAACGACAAGAGCTTCGTATTTGGTTCCAAGAGTGTTCAAGGGTCGGTTCCTGACTTGCCCAACTACAAGCACACATTCCGCTTGGTGGGAGGAAGCGTTAAGCTATCTGCAGGGCAAAGCTGGACGCCTCTTGAACGGGAACGTGGCGAGCGATGGGTCCAAACAGTCAGACAGGTACGTAGACTCCCTGTGGGCTGGTTTGCCAAGGTCAAGATTCTTCGCAGCACTGTACCTAAGCTGACCTTTGGGCAGGGCACGCACACACTTCCAGTAGCCAGAGACTATATGCGTCACCTTCGTGCTGAGATGGTCCGATCGTTATTCAACATGAATGACTACTCGTTGTCTCCGCAGACGGTTTTCACATTACTGGCTCCTCCGGCGTTGGAACCTGCGTTCGCACTGCAGCTGGCAGCTTTCCGTTTGGTACAGCGGGTGTGCAACACTCCTCGGTCACGCCGCATTTTGGTACAGCAGCTTGCCAGTACTCGCCAGCAACCTCCGTCAGATGGCCCTCTGGCACGGATACTACAGCTCAAAGCGCTGCCTTCTTTCAAACCACTCGTCGAGGACTTTTTGCACAACAGGTTGGAGGGCGACAAATGGCAGCATGACCTGCGGGAATCGTGGAGGGAGCAAACTTGGAAAACACTGGCGCGCGAACGTGCGCAACATTTTGCCGGAGCCGAGAAGGGAGTCAACCGGAAGGCCACCTTGGCTTATCTGCAGGACTTGACAGCAGCGGCGGACGCATTACAGATTCAACAGGACAGTGGCCAACATGAGCTTGTACCCCCTTCTGAGGACCCCAGGGCCAAGCTGAAGGTGCTTCGATTGTTACTGACTGCGGGCCTGATGACGCCTGAGAGGGACCACCGGCACCGGAGGCGGAAGGGCATCATTCGGTGTGCCTGTGGCGGGCCGGCACCGACAATCGAGCACATCAGTTGGTACTGCAAATGCTATCACAGAGAACGTCGTGAAGCGCTACAAGTAGTACCCAATTTTCGAGGGCTCCCTGTTTGTTTTCGTCTGTGTACGCTGGTCACCTCCAATATGAAGCTCTCTGATGACAAAGTTCGTGCAGTGCAACGTTCATTGGTTGCGGTCTGGCAGGCTCACATAGCAGCCTTTGGGGACGGTGTACAAGAGCTTGCGGAGATCATCGCAGAGACGCCCAGTGGCCAACCCGCAGGGCAACAGCAGCCAGATGCAGGCAGTACTGTGTCCATGACGCTTACAAGGCAGCCAGCAGATCGGAGAGGGCACGCGCTCAAGCTTATCCCCTCAGGGGGCGTCTATTGTCAGAAGTGTGGGAAGCAAACCAAGAACGTCAAGCATCAGAGGTTGAAGATCTTGAACAAAAAATGTGCCTTTCCAGACCTCCCTGTTGAGGAGTGGTTGCAGGAGCCTGGTGCCTTGCGCTCTGCTTCCCGGCTACAGCAGGCCGAGCGAGATCTCCACGAGCGTCTGAGCAATGGCCACCGGTTAGTCTGGAACAGGAAGGTAGGGAAGCAGGCTGATCGTGAAGACTACGGCAAGCTATGGTGCTCAGTTTGTGGAAAGGAGTGGCCTTGGAAAGACAGGCACCGGGGTGCCAGCAAAGTACGTTGTAGACCGCTGCCTCATGCTCCAGACACACCAGAGTGGGTCCGCGCGCTCAGCCTCGAGCAACAGAATGCACCGCAACAGCAATCCCCTCCACAGCATCACAGCACTCCCACTCTGAGACCTGACAACACGCAACAAGCACAGCATCAGCACAGTTTTCCAGGCACAGGACTGGTGCTTCCAGTTCGACACAGAATTGTGGTAAACGCCCAGTAGAAGATGCACAGCAATTGCAGCAACAGCGGCAATATCGCATGCCTGACACAGAGGAGAGATTACCAGATATGCTCACTGCCCGGCAAGGCATTGGTTGATGAGACTCAGGTGGTTGGCAGGGCTGTGGCGGCATGCTACAGCGCTACTACAAGCCACTACTACTTCTGGGCTCCATTGGGTGGAGGATTCTCTCAAATTCATGGTTGCAGAGACACGGCCCTCTTACAGTAGGGTCCGCACGTTTTGGGTATTGCATGGGTAGTTCCTAAAAGTTAGGATCCCATTTGTTACCCCTAAATAGGCGCCGTACTATCATCTATAAACCAAAAAAGGAGCTAGAATTTTGAAAGCAACCCGCGCACGGTAGGGTCGGGCCTAGACCGCCCTTGAAACATGGAAGCTCCAGCTGTAAGCAGTCAGTTCGGCTTGTGCGGTTCTCAGCTCCTTGCATAATGTGAGAAGGACTTTCATAGGCAGTGTATTACGATTGTCTTATGTTATGGTTAAGATTCTCTTGTCATAGCTGTCACAAGTCACCAGGTCCTGGGCAAACTGAATGCAAAAACCTCTGCCATAATATTATAATACCATAATACTATAATAACATAAGACTATACTGCCAAAATATTACAATACTGCTCTTCAGCATTTACCGGCTCGGCGGCCCGACGCCGACGCCCAAAAGCCCCAAGATTCTCAGTCTTGTTGGTAGTGCTGCCTTTACCATCCGCATCTATCACTGTATGGGGTTTAGGTTTGAGGGGCCTATAATCCATACTTTGGCCCTAGGCCCTAGTAGAGGTTTCGGGTTTAGGGTTTAGGGTCCTGTCCTCCAAGGTTAGTAGCCTTGTACCGCGACTTCCTCAAGCTGCTGAACAAGGCGTCCGCTGGTGGGTGCGGACTTGCTGACATACGGGCCCATGCAAGGCACCATGATTTTTAGGGTTCAGCTTTGTAAGGGCTATGGAGGCACATTATTCCAAACATGGAGAATCAAATGGAAAGAACATGGAACAAATGGAAATGGGGGTTAACAAGTGTCAGGATCCAGCAAGGATCCCACTAGCGTAGATAGGCTAGGGCATAGGGTTCAGGGTTTAGTGTCATATAGGGTGTAATCTACATTGGGGTTTTATAGGGATAATGGAAAATAAGATGGAAACTACTACTTGAGGGTTTAGGGTTTAGGGTGTTGCCTGGGCGAGGCGCTGTTGCTTGTATTTTGTTGCAGGAGCGAACGAAAAGAGCAGGACACGTGTGGATATGTCAAGCGCTCGGAGCACTGCTCACTTCTCCTCGCAGTAGAATATAGGGGTAGAATATAAGAGTATAATATTGGGGTTGTATAGGGATAATGGAAACTAGAATGGAAATTACTAGTTTAGGGTTTAAGGTTTGGGGGTATGCGTTAGTTTTCTGGCTTAGCAGTCTCAGTAGAAGTTATAGTCATACTAAACAACCGTTTGCATTGTTCAAGTAGACTAGGTAACGTAGTAGTGGTACATCCACTTTTCCACCCCTCATTTGTTTTTGATGTCCTAACTTGAAGCCAGAGGTAGCGAGCTTCTACGAGCCTACTTCAAGCTTGGGCACACCCGGACATGCGTTGACTGCTGCAAATTGCAAGAGAAATAGTCCAATTTGCCCGAAGGGCGGGTTACCTGGCATAGTATCCACAAACCCGAAGCTCTAGGCCCGAAGTAGAACAGAAGGTGTTGAACATCATTGCTTCTGCCAGAATATTCCTACCTCGCAACAACAGAAGGACTCAGGAGGGGCAGTCTCCATCTCATTCTTCATTTGATTCTCCATTCTGGCTACTTAAGCCCTAAACCCTCTATATATATATAGACATACACCGGTGCAGGTTATAGCTTATGATTGCCTGCCCCTTCCTGTGCTCTGGATTTGGCGCTTTTAAAGCAGCGTCAATTAGTTTCTCTATAGAGGTTCTACAAGTTTTCAAAAAGAGTTTACAGAGAGTACACGGATATTTTTGGCAGGTTCTAAAGACTCCAAGACTTTTTTTGAGGTGTTTCTAGAGGGTTTCTGACGGTAGGACCCGGCGTAGAAGTGGCGCAGGGTCGGACGCGACAGGACTGGCTGCGTCTGCCCCCGTGGCTGATTTTTTTTTTCGCAAGCTCGGCTTCTATCAGTACACAGTCCCTAAAACCTGAAACAATACCTGAACCCCACAAGTATGTAGAATCATAGCCTTTGGGCAGTTTTTAGGAGTTTTGGGCTATGATTTTACCTATTCTGGGAGTCCAGGTAAACCTCAAACCCCTAGCTGGTCTTGTTCTCCATGTTTCTCCCTCTGCTCACGGCCTTCCACCAACTGCGGGGGAGCTCAGTCAATTTTACCTGAGACCTTTTTAAGGGAGTTTCATACAGGGCGTGTAGAGCTAGAAGGTTCCTAGAAGTTGTATAAGGGTTTGATAAAGTTTCATAGGAGGTTTAGAGGGCTCCATGTCTTTTGTGGGTGGTTCGTCAGCCGTTAAAGAGTTTTCTTGAGGCTTTGTAGAGGACTTGTAAGGTTTTGTAGAGTGCTACTTGAGCCTTGTACAGGTACCGCTGTGGGTCTATGGTCTGAGGGTTTATAGAGGGTTGAGAGAGGTTTCACAGAGAGTTCATGGTTGAGCGCCGAGCGCGGGCGTATCTAGTGTGCTTACCACCCCAAGACCCGAAACCCAAAAGCCTGATCCTAAACCCCATTATAGTAGTTTCCATTTTCTTTTCCATTATCCCAAGATTACCCCAATATACTATAGTAGTTTCCATTTTCTTTTCCATCATCCCCATATAACTATATAACCCAAATAGCCTATACAGCCAGGCAGGTGTCGCAGTGCTCGTTCCTTCTCTCCACCGTGACAAACTCCATGCAGAAGGCAGGGCGCAGGGTGTAGGATTGAATAGTCTCATGCCGTCCCCTCGCCGTGCTAGGGAGTCTCAGATGAGAAGGAATTTCTGAGGCATAGTCCAAAAATCCCTGCCCCAATGCTCGAAAACGTGCCCTTGCTATAGCCGGACCATGTTTTTGCACCTGCTCTTTGGCCTCCAACTCGCGGAGGATGGTTTCAACCCTACTGACCTTCCCAAAGCCATCTGCGCAGCTTGGCATCAGCTGAGCATGATAAGGAGCGTGATGTCAGAAACGTGGGAAACAGGGTCCTGTAAACCTCTCCAGCACAGGTTTAGCACCCAAATCCCAAATAAGATGGTAGCTTCCATTTGCTTGTCCATTCCCTTATATGGTCTAGGGACCAAAGTTAGGTTGGGGGTGACCTAGAAGCGGGGAATGTAGTGAGGGTTTAGGGGGGCCGTTTAGGAATAGACTGGAACTGTAGTCCAGGGCCCCTCAAAAGCTTGCAAATCGTTAATTTCATCACCGCAAGAAGGCAAGAAGGGGGGGTCCCCCAATGGTAGATACTCCCAGGCTCCCAATATAGCTTTCCAATAGAGTACCATCTCACTATTGTTACACTTATTACTATGAATACTGTTAAGGGGAGTATTTATCGTTAGTGGTGGGGGTCATTACGCACTCAGGGGGGTCATCAAAATTTTGAGTCAGTGCTTGGGAGGCCTGAAATGAAACCAACAGCAGGGATCGAATTCTTGGGGGGTTCTCAGCATTAGGGTAACCACTTTTTGGGGGTCCCTCTAATAACGATAGTATGTTGGGGCCGCCCTATTTGGGGAAACTAGCATTTATTGCGAAGTAGGTCTGGTTGTCCTTACTTTGAGAACCACACATCGATGTTTTTTTGAGGGTCAGCCTCACATAATTGGTGGCCGCAATAAAGAGAGGGGGAACCTTATGTGGACCCGCAAATACCGTAAGCATCTTTGTTGATAGGACTCCCATCAAAGAGCCCCAAATTTTGGGAATCTCCCTCGTGCATCCTTGAGCTGGACCTCTGCCATCTCCCTTTAGCCTAGGCCTAGCTCCCTCAAGTTGTCCCAATTCTGAGAATGTTTGCAAACATTAGGGGTTCCATTTTGGAGGGTAGCTATGATAAGGATCATAGTGTTTTTGAGGGTACACAAGGAGACGATACTTCTCGGAAAGCTACCATGTCCACATCCCATGAAGATGCGTATGTTCCCCTTCACCCAAAGCCCATAAACCCCAGCAGGTTCTTCCTCGGTTTGCTCCAAAAAAAGGTTGGTCATCACAGGATTTTCTGCGCAGGTTCTCTGTGAGCAAATGTTCAATGATTTTATGGACCGTTTTTGTACAGGGAAATCTGTAGGATACAGGTGTCTGACTCCAATTCTCCTCACTTGGGGGGAGCAGAGGCAGAGCAAATTCTGCTATCCAAGTGGTTACTCTAGGGCCCTAAACCCTAAACCCTCTAGGGCCTACTATGCTGAATATGGCTGCCATGGATCCCTGCCCTGAAGCCCTAAACCCTAAAAGGGTTTAGGGTTTAGGGTTTAGGGTCAACTTGGCCCCCCCGACGTGCATATGAGCCATAGCCTAAACTCCTTAAAGGGGGTTACAATTACAAGGGTTATTGAAGGGGATACTAGGAGTTCAGACTATAGCTCATATGATCCCTTATTCACTATTAGAACCCCTATATATACCACACTATAAAGCATTAGTTTCCACGTTCTTTTCCGTTATCCCTGTATATATATATATGTATA